AGGATATGGCGGTTATTGTATATCAGGGCTACATTTGTCGTAATGATAAGGATTGGGAGAAAGCAAATGAGTTCATTCCCGAGAGATTTCTAGATAAACAGGGAGAGTTCATAACTACCCGTCCAAAGGCGTACATCCCGTTCGGTGTGGGACGACGTGTTTGTTTGGGAGAGAAGTTAGCCATCGCTGACCTCTTCCTAGTTTTGGTCAGATTTCTGCAGTCGACTCAAGACTACGATATAGTCCTCGACAGTCATAATGGTATTGATCCGGATCCTAATTCCACGGATGCAATGGCTCCACAAGATTTTAAAATATCTTTAAGAAATAAATAAATAATATCCTGTTATTGCATTTAAATATTTTGTATAATATTGAAATAATAATAATTTATTATTTTATTCATTCATTAAATTTGTGAAATAAAATCTTTTATATTTGATATCATAATAATTTATTAAAACTTTTTAAAACTATATTTACTAATTCAGTACACATGACTTATATACTTTTTAATATTATAAGAGATTACCAAATATTAAAATTTAATTTTAAGAAGTTAAATATGTAAGTAAAATGTAAAATAATTTCATTGAATATTTATAAAATAGTTTTATAGAAATAAAGTAAAATACAAATTATCTAATAAACATTAACAATACATACCAACAATTTCAATAAAATGATATGTTGTGATCAAACTTTTATTATAATATGTGTTTTTAATAATGAATTTAAATGTACATGCAGGTTTGAAATGTACTTAAATAATACACTGACATGGATACACATAAATACACTTTTGCTCTCACTTTCTCATACATAGTCTATTAAAATCTATTGTTAAAAATATATTTATATAATTATTACCGGTAATATTAATATAAAAATAAATAATCTTTTTTATAAAAATTAAAAAGCTATGATAATATAAAGTAACCTAATGCACTATAACAAACTGATATCAAAAGTGATTACAACTGTCATTAACTATAAAGGATAATTCATTTAGACCTTGAAGAGATAACAAAAGTGTATATAAAATTAGAAATCTAATAAAATAATTTCAGTTTGTATTCACAACTCCCGTGAACACCATATTTGTCATATTTTCACAATTTAAAACTTATTATAAATTGTTTTGATAAATATAATAAATTTCTATATATTCTACTTATTATTTAAGTGAATATTGTATCACCAGAAATGTCTTTATTAACACAATTAATATCATTTTTAACATCGGATATTCGTGCAACACTCGTATCATTATTGATTGGTTATTTAGTGTATAAATTGGCAAGGTTTTATTATTTAACTACAACATTACCTCCCGGTCCCCTTCCCTGGCCTATTGTGGGAAATATACTGTGTATGTGAGAAATACTTTAGAAATCATTCATTCATTTACAATATTTGATAATTGATTTATGATTCATAAAATTATTTAAATTTATAATTTATAAAATTAATAAATTTATTTAAAATTATAAATAGTGTTCAAAACAAAGTCACACTGGGATGAGGTGTTCAGACAACTGGCCAAACAGTACGGACCAGTATTCACGTTCTGGTTGGGGAACAGACCGCACGTAATAGTGTCGGACATAGGGCTGGCCCGGGAGGCCTTCAAGAAGAATGACTTCGCCGGAAGGAGTAACACATACATCGGTCAGTTATACCATATTTTTTATCAATTAGTTAACACTTTCTGTCCTCGTGTTTAAACAATGAGACTAAATAAGTCTAAATATTAAATGTAAAATCAATTATAACTATTTTATAATTTACAATTTATAAAGGACATTTACTGTCAAATGAAAAGCATTCAGACGTTATATTTGACGATTACGGGCACCGGTGGGAGGCGTTGAGACGGGTGGCTCACTCAGCCATACAGTATGTGCTCATAATTATATACTGGGTATTTTTATAATATAAATTAATTATATTTTTCTTATAGGAAATACTCAACAAATGATAGACTGGTGAATGTGGCCAATGATTCAGTGGATCGTATGGTGAAGACTATGATAGAAACGGAAGGCCCGGGAAAAGCATTTGACCCCAAGACTTATATCTATTTAGTATTTCTTAATATATTGGCTACCAGTGCTTTCGGTATAAGGTATGAGCCTACAATAAAAAATTTTAATATTTATAATGTTTAAACTAAAAATAATTTTTAGTGTATAATATTAATAAGTATTTGCATTTTATTTTAGTTATAACCTAGATGACTATGAATTCAAGAGAATTAAATACATATTAAAAGATTTCGCTAAAAAAGCCGGAAGTCGGGTATTATTGTGGGAATTCTCACCACTTATTAGACTATTGGATAGAAAACTAGTGAAAGAAAATGACGACAATGTCATTGAATTCATAGATATTTGTCAAAAGAAGTTTGTCTCACATCAGAAAGACTA